GTTGTACTGTGTGCAGTGGAACGGGGCACCGTACCAATGTACTGTGTGTAGTGGAACGGGGCACCGTACCAATGTACTGTGTGCAGTGGAACGGGGCACCGTACCAATGTACTGTGTGCAGTGGAACGGGGCACCGTACCAATGTACTGTGTGCAGTGGAACGGGGCACCGTACCAATGTACTGTGTGTAGTGGAACGGGGCACCGTACCAATGTACTGTGTGCAGTGGAACGGGGCACCGTACCAATGTACTGTGTGCAGTGGAACGGGGCACCGTACCAATGTACTGTGTGCAGTGGAACGGGGCACCGTACCAATGTACTGTGTGTAGTGGAACGGGGCACCGTACCAATGTACTGTGTGCAGTGGAACGGGGCACCGTACCAATGTACTGTGTGCAGTGGAACGGGGCACCGTACCAATGTACTGTGTGCAGTGGAACGGGGCACCGTACCATTGTACAGTGTGTAGTGGAACGGGGCACCGTACCGTTGTACTGTGTGCAGTGGAACGGGGCACCGTACCAATGTACTGTGTGCAGTGGAACGGGGCACCGTACCGTTGTACTGTGTGCAGTGGAACGGGGCACCGTACCAATGTACTGTGTGCAGTGGAACGGGGCACCGTACCAATGTACTGTGTGTAGTGGAACGGGGCACCGTACCAATGTACTGTGTGCAGTGGAACGGGGCACCGTACCAATGTACTGTGTGCAGTGGAACGGTTCATATTGTACGTGGAACGATGGGAACACACACAAACGAGTTTTCAAATCACGAGAGCCTCAGATATGGTAGTGTTGAAGCTATGAATCTATTCTCTCTATAGTTGGATTTGTCAGCATTTGTTATACATGAAAGGGACGTGAAACTCGAAAAAGGGACGTGAAATGCCGTTTAAAGCTCTTTAATGAATGAGACAACTCAGTAGACAACTCAATGAGGAGGTGGTCGCTGTGAGTAACAAACTCCACAATTAAAACATAGTTTCATATTGTAGCGCCCGCTCCATTGTGCTGTGAGTAACAAACTCCACAATTAAAACATAGTTTCATATTGTAGCGCCCGCTCCATTGTGCGGATACCTTCGTGATGTGTATAAAATATTAGACAATATAAGATTAAGAAAGGAACATTATAAAGAGTCCGTGTAAACTCTGAGCTCCAGGTCGACAAAGAGGAAACAAAGCAGCGGGAACTGTTTACACGGGAGGGGAGTAGGGGACCTATTAAGGGAGAGAGGGAGAGAGGGAGGGAGGGAGCTGCACTCCTCATGGAGTGGCGGCACCCTACAAGCAATTGGCAAATGATCCAAAAATTCGCATATTGCGGGGAAAATTTTCGATCACCAGGAAGCTTCAGAGGATTCTGAAAAAAGCAAGTTGTGTCAACCAAAGAGTTGCGGAGAGGAGAGAATACCTGAGAGCGGATAATTCGAATAGAAAATGTGATTAGGGTGTCTATAACAGCATTCCGGAGGGAAGCTTGCGGAGGGAAGCTTGCCTTGTAGCGGGCCTAATGACGGTTCATTATGATAGCTGGGATATTTACCAGGACTTACGAAATGTAACGGAAGGGGGCAACAGCGCGGGAATGTTTTCTATGGATAATCTAATCTGCAATGCTATGTTGCCACGTAAGGGCTATAACATTCGCTCAACATGTTGTAATCCTGATTACTCTTGATCTCTACCATGGAATAAAGTTGTAAATTACCCTATCAAGATAAACATTACACTTGCATGTAAGGGAAGTGTTCCTAGCCCGTGTTACATCTACTTCCGGCAATGTTCCCCCCTGACAACAGACTTAACCCCAATTTGAGGAGAGATGGGCAATTTGGTAATCTAGCTAGGCACACTTGGGGCACACTTGGGGCAAAAAGTTACTTGGGGCACACTTGGGGCAGATACAGTTGGGGCACAGCTGGGGCACACTTGGGGCACAGTTGAGGCAAAAAAAAAGACCTGAAGCACAGTTTAAGTAAACTAAATACACTTGGGGCACAAAGTTACTTGGGGCACACTTGGGGCACAGCGGGATTGGTTGAGGAGAGATGATCACACCTCACGTACGAGAAGAGCATCAGCGGGATTGTTTGAGGAGACACCATGTAGATGGAATTTAAAACAAAACTTTAACCAGCCCGCCGACAATAGTGTAATAGTCCCTCAGAGAGCGTTAAACGAGGCCTCCTTCCTTACCTACTCTACCTATAAGTCCAACCTACTAGAAGCTACTTGACCTCTGTGATAAAATAGAGGGTCTCTCGGAATTATATCTGATAACACTTATGTATACTATAACCACTGTGTCTGTGCTTTGCAAAGTAACATCACACCAGGGCGTGACCTCATGATATGGTTGGGCACCAGTTTATATGAGCTAGTATATATGAGGTAGTATAATTATATATAATTATAATTTATATGGTTATTGGTTAAATCCTTAATAAATAATAAATAACAATGCCCTTTGTGAAATCCAGGGATGTTTTTATTCGCCATGAACTAGCGCGGTAACCTAGGTTACCATGAATCACTGAATCAGCTGACGAATAATTTGTCTCGTTTGAATGCAACATAAAATAGTTGATATGTTTCAACTATACCCATCAAAAAGACCGAACGTTTTTCTTTTAGAACAGCTGTAACTCGAGGGGAATAATTAAATTTTAAACATCGATAATTAAGAGAGAAGATTATTTAAATCACAGTGATATATTAATAAATACAAAGCAATTAGCAGGTCAACGAATGAAAGGGCGAGAATCAAAAAGTGATAATATACTTAAATCTAAAACACTCACCACAGGGCAGACCTTGTCTCTGGTTAAAACCTTAAAACATTGCTAAAATAATAATCGGTTAGAATGTTGAAATAAGCTATATTTCGATATAACACATAGACCATAATTTATAAATAGACCAAATTATTATATGGACCATACATTGACTATATTTTATATATAGACCATTTTGTTGCCACCTAAAACATCAATTCCTGAACAAAATACAAAAATAGCGAACGATATTTTAAATGTATCATGAAACAGTTTTGCGGCAGTGTTTCAGACTCAGTTCCACCTCCCACGGTCTCTGCTGACCACTGTCATTAATTTGCGTTGCTTAAAGTTTACTGTGTTTTCCATATGGATAGTGTAAAATAACCGCAATATCGTTATCCAGTACGCACTTACATTGCTCCTTTATAAACTAAAACATTCCTTACATTGAACGTCCTAAGTGTTGAATATATAAGACAGTTAAAAACTCAGATATAATTTCAATAATACGTGGCAATCATTTGTTCAGCTAATACACATTCTCCTGTTTGAGTCCCGTGTTTCAAGGCCTGACCAGCACGATTAATATAATTAATATAACTTATATAAATAATTGATATAATTAATATAACTTATATAACTAATTAATATATATAACTAATATAACTAAAGTAAAATTAAGAGGTCAAAGAATGAGACATTATCCGTCCCCAAAGCACCACCAAACATTATCAATATGGTATTCAACGATACTTCTACTTACTTGATTTGATTCTTAATTATGACTGGGTCATTGTAAATACTATAAACAATTTAAAAGTTTTTGAGAACTAATTAAGAGCACTCTCACATAAACCCAAATTCCTGGATCAAGACAACCCTAGCTCACCATAGCAATACCATAGCAACACCATAGCAACACGCTCAACCTGCTGTACCCACACCGGTGGTCAATATAAAAGCAGGTATGTAAAATATTACGATAATAGGGACCAACTATTCGGGGAGGGGGAGGAATGTGGAGTTACACACATTATGAAGGAGCACATTATGAAGGAGCACTTTGGACCGCAGTCTTGAGTCTAATTGAGGGGTCAAGAGAGTGGGAAGAAAAGGATTGTTGTAGCGCCCGGGCTTATAAGCTTATAGTTTGATGATACAAATTGCAGTTTATTGGATCTATTGCAGGGGACTAGGGTTACCCGCAAATTAATGGAAACAGACCCAGCACTGGCAGACTTAGGTGAATACCTGGATATCGGAATAAAGCGGATATGTGAAGTAGTAAGAGGAGTAAACGAGGGGATTTGTTAGGAAATTCCAGGAATCTTTATGATAATTGTATCAGGAACTAGTTTGCGGTGATTTAAGGGTCATGAACTATATAAAAGGGGCACTGTGATGTATGTGACCAGGGATCTAGTGGTAGTGGGCTGGAAGGCCGGCAGCTTGGTATGCTGTTTGTCGCTGCAACGACCTGATTAGATCGGATTCGCTCCCATTAATATAATATAAACTAACTTAGAGGGTAACAGGCTCAGAAATGCAGTACTGATATGGAGTATATAATATATATTATATATTATATATACGGAGTATATAATATATATTATATATTATATATTATATACTCCGTATATATAATATATATTATATATTATATATTACATATACGGAGTATATAATATATATTGTATATCATATATACGGAGTATATTAAAGTCACTATTGTGACGGTACATTAGAACTAGTTTATATATAACGTTTGTGCGGCTGCTTTTAAAATTCTGCGGGCTGAAAAATACAAAATTATGGCGGCCACGTCAAGACGAATACAAAAATAAAGGTAAGTAAACAGAACAGAAAAAGCAATTAAAAAATTAACCACAAAACTACAATTAAATCTGGATCATAAGAGTTGCATTGGTAGCAACAAGCCTATTAAACATCAGATCAGAGGAAAAATATGATCCTTAATTTATCACGTTCTAATCTGTTAAATCAATCTAGCACTGATTAACAACGGTATGTTTTAATAAAGAAGTGTATACATAAGGAAAGTTATTAAAGGACACGAAATGACTTAATAGATCTTTGATCATCCCCCGTTAAAGCAAACTAAAAAAGAGGGTACAATTACAAGAAACTATGTAAAACTGTGTACACAAGGAATGGCAATGTTGCGACATTGGAACATCGCACTCAAGTCTCATGATCTCAAATTATTTGTTATATAGTGGTGTCGAGAGTATTAAAATATAAAAATGGTCTGACTATAAATTGTTAATCAGAATCATCACAACAATGCGACTAAAAAACAACGTTCCGATCCGGATATTACACAAAACAACCTGGATCAGACAACTAAAGGCCCTTCACAACAGCAACCCAGGAGTGTTGCTATGGTGTTGCTATGGTGTTGCTATGGTTACTGGTGTGTTGCTATGGTAAAACTAAAGGACTCAACCACAAAGCATGCCAAGAGGAGATCATCATACATTATACATATCAAACACGCATAATCACGCAGTATAACGGAGTTTAAATGAGGTGCAGAACGTTATAATACAGCATAGTGTACACTGTACACGCTAGTTATATGCCTTGTACTAGTCCCGGTGATCTGCATGTACATTATACACTAATATATTGTCATTACATCGGATATGGTGAGGCTGGGTGGTAATTGTCCTGCCTTTCTCAGAACAGTTTGCAGACACTAAGGAGCAACGAGCTGGCCACTGACTGGCCGAGCCGCGCGCACGCTTATAGCAGTATATTTAAAATATTTGTGCTCAATATATAATATGAGTTATATGATCCCTAATTTCGATCACTAATAACTATCACGGTTTACTACAATTATTATATACTATTATACACTACTAGTTAAAGTTGTACTTATAACATAGCAAATTATTCGACTACTCAAGTATTAACTAGTTGTAAGAAATGACCCTTTAGGAGCCCTAAACCGGTATATAAATACCACTTAACACATGATATACTACACAGTACACGATTAGAAAATCTATTTGTTATACGGGAATGATAACAATTGTAAAGTATAAAATATCTTACTTCCCTCTGAAGTAGAACACTAACAGAGAGAGAGAGAGAGAGAGAGAGAGAGAGAGAGAGAGAGAGAGAGAGAGAGAGAGAGAGAGCTTCAAACATGTATAAATGGTACTCCACTGGTCTACGAAACCTTATGCGACAGAAAAAGGCTGCGAGTTAACATATTATGATAGAGGTTGTGAGATTCTACACACAACTAACCGACCACAACAAAAAGACACTCACAGATCCACACTCACTCCACAGTTGTGTAGTATCACAACAATGACTCCCGCGTCGTTATTCGCACTAAACTGTCAGCTCATATAGAAAACGTGCGGCATATCACGTGATTAATGACTCTTAGTGTGCTATTGGCAGCTTGTCAAGTATTGGCAGCTTGCTCCAGGCTCCTTGTAAGTTCTAGCTCTTTAGTGGAAAATGTAGTAGAAAATGAGATCCACCTTCTGAATAGCTGTGACCTCAACACAGTTAATAGCATATACACTGATCTTGTAGTGACGTCACTACACGTGGTGTGACGTCACTACAGGTCGTGGTGTAACGTCACTACACGTGGTGTGACGTCACTACAGGTCGTGGTGTAACGTCACTACACGTGGTGTGACGTCACTACAGGTCGTGGTGTGACGTCACTACAGGTCGTGTGACGTCACTACACGTGGTGTGACGTCAACACAGTTAATAGCATATACACTGATCTTGTAGTAAACAACTTTAAATTGTAATCTTTGTAATTTCTTTGTAATTTCCTTGTAATCCTTAGTGTTTTATTGGCAGATAAGTCAGGCCTCAATTTGTCGAGAATTTTTCTCATACTGGGATGCGATTCAATTACATGTGCTTAGTGTAAACAAGGTATTTATTTACCGGAATCCAAGATTAACCAGTGGTATTTGTTCCAACTAACCCTCGATTTATACCATTAGTCCTTGTAACCTTGTAATCGGGGTATGACTGCATTAAAGGTAGGACCTTACAGCAAACATCTTCTACAGAAAGTCACGTTTTATGTGGTAGACACTGTAAAAACCTGTAGGGTTCTTGTAAGACAGAGAAGTTCGTGTTTTGTTCATTTTAAAAGTTTTGTTGGTTTAAAATATCAGCTATGATAAGTCACATTTCTTGCACAAAACGAGCTTAAAACTGAAAGTTTCGGGAAAAGAATAGGCCTGCAGGTATATCGGGGTACCTGGCAAAGAGAGGCCCGGTAAAGAGAGGCCCGACACTCCGCAAGCAATACAGACTGTAATGTAACTGGTAATATTAAAAATAGATTTAGATGATATTTCATCGAATTAAAGTTTAAACTAAGTTCAGGAAGTCACCGAACAATCGAATCAATGAAATTTTTAAATACTTACTAACCTTCATCTTATTGAATATGGTGTATTATATTTTTATAAGTGATGGTGTCGAGGCACACTCTCGAGGAACGTTTTGATGTTGTGGATTTCATATTCTCTCGAATTTTCTGTACATTTCTGTAATTTTCTGTAAGAAATCAACAACGTCAACCCTCATCTTGGCAATACACTCCGCAAGCAATACAGTGGCACTTCTATTGCCGGATCAATTAAATTATGATGAAATCGCAAATTGTTAGGAATTTCAAAGGTTCGGAACTTAAAAGGTTTAAAACTTTAAGACGGGAGTTACTAACAGTAACATTTAATCAAATCACAGCTGATAATAGCATTCGGCATTTGGTGCAACTTTAGTTGGTTCAGTAAAAATATACGGGGCTATCCAGTGCAATAATAATAATATGAATAATGAACCTACAGCTTTCTAACGGATACTCATCTTAAATAACCCATAAAACACTCATGAAAACAACAGAAAACAGTAAACCTTGCCAGAAAGTAGAAAAACAAGCTGAGAAACATACACGACAAAATCTAACTCACGATTCGACAAGTAACAAAACTATCACGCGCACAACAATGACAGACGTGATTTTACATTGCATACTTGTGATCGTAATAAATGATTATTAATAGATAATATTAATAGTTAAACATTTCGTTCTGTACACACTGAAGATGCGAATAATATCTTGAAGTCATCTCATGGGATTACGGTTCTTAGTATAAAACACTGTTCACACGGCATAGGCTGTTTTAAGACCACAGTTTTAAATTTTACTGTAATTACTAAAGTAAATAATAATTACTACCTTACTACAGACTCGCAGGCTGTGAACTTTCACTGCCCAAGAGGAACTACAGGGTTTTACAAGACTCGTGTCCAAATTTGAAATTATAATTTTTCTATTTTATGAAGGAACAAATTAAATGAAATCGGTTTGGGAATGCTTGTTAGGTCCTACATTTTAGTTATTTCTTGCAAAATCGTGTCAAATTTTTATTTGACAGAAACATTGCAAATCGCAGTTCTCTTCCTGATACAAGCTCTAGTCGCGCCAGAATGTCAATTCATTTAGCAATGTTACCTTGTGGATTTGACTGTACTGCAATGACAAGTGATTCCGTTTTAAACGAAATTAGAGAGTCAAGAAATTATCTTGTCTGTCGCCTACACTCTTCTAAAACTCGCTGCTTTTCTGGATGAATGACAGGAATACTTACTCTCTGTGGGGTGGTCACATGAAGTGGTCGCTGAACCAATCTCAACATAGGTCACATAGATAGGCAAATATGCAGATTATGCAAGGTATGTGAATATGCAGATTATGCAAGAAGCGAAGTTAAAATAGTTATTTTTGTACTAAAGGTGCATTACATTACATTAAATTCCGAAAGGATCGCAGGAGTAAATAGACATACCTCCAAATTTCTAAGCTCGAATTCTTAAGGAGAAAATAATCGAATGACTGCAAAACCGGCAAAACTGTTTGCAACCCGATAGAACGGGCAGGAAATCTAAAACTTGTAAACTATTTTTGGCCGAAATTTGTTTAAAAACAGAGATGTTAGTAACTGACTTTCACGGGACCTTAAATCTTTGTTACTTAGGCCTTAGCAACTAAGCAAGTTAAAAAAGAAACCATCTTTCTTTAAAGGCATATAATGAAACTCACAATTCAAATGTATCTTTGAAAACATCATTGGCACTAACATCGCACAGGCTTGGCACTAACATCGCACAGGCTTGGCACTAACATCGCACAGGCTTGGCACTAACATCGCACAGGCTTGGCACTAACATTAAAATCGAAGAATAAGATATTAGAGAGATCACAGTCTGATTGCACTTCACACTATTTGTCATGTATGAACTTATGAAGTGGCGTGATGATATTACCGGGCCCGTGAACGACCACGGTAGCTAAATAATGCGAACGTGAGACATGTACGTGAGACATTTAGGAAGCAGGGTGAGAATCAGTCTACACTTATGGGGGTATACAAAACTGTCCAACCTCACAGGAAGTTTAGTGACCATCTACTTCTAGCGCACCGTGTCCACACCAACAATTTCTTTGGAGAACACTTATATCTGTAATCGAGCATTTCCCGGTTAGAATTCAAGAATCCCCTCCTATGTTCTCACTCTCTGCTTCCTAAATGTAGCTAAATAATGCGAACGTTAAGTGACGTCACTACACGTGGTGTGACGTCACTGTACGTGGTGTGTGCTAAACAACGTTAAGTGAGTAAGTGTAGTAAGTGTAGAGTGTAGACTGATCCAGGTGATCTTCACTCTGCTTCCTAAAAGTAAATGTCTCACGTACATTTGCATCATGTGTCTATTATAAGACGTACGGGATATAGTGGTGGTGTGGCTCTCAACTATTGGACATTAAGCTGGGGGGGGGGGGGGGGGGGGGGCAATTTGGTTTAAAGTTAAGGATTAATTGACAAAATTTTCATCATTTTTTGGTCAAAATAGGCGTGGCTTTCAACTACGTGATAATCTCCAATCAGAACGAATGAAGAAAATCTATTTTAGGTTTATATAAGTTGCCATAATTGAAAACTTGAACGATGCATCAAAATATTCCTGTGGGCACATTTATTTTCACCACCTAAAGCGTGGTTTCAAACAGCTAATAATAAAAGTTACAGAAGACAATGGATTTAAAATTTAAATGAATTATTAATGACTTGTAATGACCAACTAATAAAAATCATCCAGTCATCCTATTTTTAGAGACAATTAGGTTCGACAATAAAATTATCGAAGGAAAT